CTGATCCACTCAAAGGTACTACAGTAAAAATGGAGCTCCACCAATAGGTACATCCAATCATAATGCAGTAAAAATGGAGCTCCACCAATAGGTACATCCAATCATAATGCTGTAAAAATGGAGCTCCACGAATAGGTACATCCAATCATAATGCAGTAAAAATGGAGCTCCACGAATAGGTACATCCAATCATAATGCAGTAAAAATGGAGTTCCACCAATAAGTACATCCAATCATAATGCTGTAAAAATGGAAGTCTACTGACCTGGGTTATTATCACTCAATTAAAATAATTTACCTCGTCATAAGTATCTGTAGTGTTAATATTAGTTATCACGAAAATGGTGTTCATACATGTTGAGGTTTTTGCCATTTTAATGTCGTAGATATAATGTTTATTATATTAATATTCTTTTGTCTTATTACAGGATTTTCTTTTTATACTAATAGTGTATATATATAGCACGTTAGCGCATTGTTTTAATGCTAACTGGAAAGTAATTATGACATTTCAAAGAAGGTTATTTAAAAAAGTTGTCTTAAAAAAGAATCGAGTCTCAGTAGAAGTTTTTTTTTCTCGATTAATGTTGACTTACTCAGTTTTCACTTTCCAGAATATTCTCCCATGTTACCAAGTGATTATCACGAAACGTTTAATCATTTATTTCTCTTTCTTTCCGTTTGTCTATTTGATGCTAACAAAATATTGCACTGCTAATGACCAAGTGAAACGTCGAAACATGTAGAGTGAGAGAGACGGTCGCCGAATCGCTTGTTTTTCTCTTCGTACAGTAGATTATCAGTGAATATTTGAAGAGAAGTCGCTTGAGTTGCTTTATGAGTAACTGATTTATCTTACTGTCTGTATCAGATAGCCAACTTCAACATGTTAAACGCGCGAATTGTTGACGCTTAATTTTTACTGTAGTATGATTGGATGTACGAATTGGTGGAGCTCTATTTTTACTGCATTATGATTGGATGTACCTATTGGTGGAGCTGTTTGGAGATTAAAAGAGTTTCGTTTTTTTTTAAACTTCTCGCTCTTTATTCGTTAATTCTGTCGTGGGGCCACCTTTCTCTGTAATTGCTCTGTTAAACGGATGTATTGGTTTGATTTGAATTTCGCGCAAAGCTACACGAGGGCTATCTGCGCTAGCCGTCCCTAATTTAGCAGTGTAAGACTAGAGGGAAGGCAGCTTGTCATCACCACCCTCTGCCAAGTCTTGGGCTACTCTTTTACCAAGGAATAGTGGGATTGACCGTGACATTATAACGCCCCCACGGCTGAAAGGGAGATTGTTCCCTAACTGTTTCATACAGTGATTGTTCCCTAAGTTGTTCTATTTCATACAGTGATTGTTCCCTAAGTTGTTCTGTTTCATACAGTGATTGTTCCCTAAGTTGTTCTATTTCATACAGTGATTGTTCCCTAACTGTTTCATACAGTGATTGTTCCCTAAGTTGTTCTGTTTCATACAGTGATTGTTCCCTAACTGTTTCATACAGTGACTGTTCCCTAAGTTGTTCTGTTTCATACACTGATTGTTCCCTAACTGTTTCATACAGTTATTGTTCCCTAAGTTGTTCTGTTTCATACAGTGATTGTTCCCTAAGTTGTTTTGTTGCTTGGAATTATTCGACGATTATATACTTTGTTTTCTGCTATGTCTAGTCGTTTGGATGTGTTGATAAAGTATATTACCACATTAAGATGCTAAAACACAAGATTATAAGCAACAGTAGAGACAATCCTTCCACTACATAATCAGGTGAAGACTTCACACAATCTCACGATAGAGCTTAAGCCTGAAGCTGCAAGCGAACATTACACGGTTTCCATTGTTTGTTTAAACAATATATTTTCAAACATTGAATTCGTTTATGAACAATTATAGACGATTATTAATGAACTGATCATTTTACGAAGAGGAACAAGGTATCATTATAAACAAGGGATCATAATAAACAAGGGTTCATTATAAACAAGGGTTCGTTACAAACAAGGGATCATTATAAACAAGGTTTCATTATAAACAAGGGATCATTATAAACATATCATTATAAACAAGGGATCATTATAAACAATGGATCATTATAAACAAGGGTTCATTATAAACAAGGTTTCATTATAAACAAGGGATCATTATAAACAGATCATTATAAACAAGGGATCATTATATAGTGATTTATTTTAAAATATATAGCCAATAGCCCGTTTCTCAAAATAAAAATGCAGTTTTGACTTTGTTTCAGAAAGACTTACGTCCGTTTGTTATGGTGATTTCCAGCTCTACAATTTGGCCAAGACCCACAGTGTTGACGAAAGCATCATTCTCAAAGTCATAAATACGAAGCAGAACTTGTGGTGCAGTGGAAGAATTAGTCGTAACCGAAGAAGTGTTTTTTGGCAGTTCTCTGTTAAAGTAATGAAAATTAATCATCAACGAACATTACGAAAATGGAATACATTCATAAATTATAAAAATCAAATGGAGTGACAAAAATAATATGAGGGACATATCAGTGTGGTAATAATACCAGGTACACGTACAGTACTGGACGTTTTGGTCACCAGTGTGGTAACAATACCACGTGCACGTACATTACTGGACGTTTTGGTTACCAGTTTAGTAACAATACCATGTATACGTACTGTACTGGACGTTTTGGTCACCAGTTTAGTAATAATATCACGTACACGTACAGTACTAGACGTTTTGGACACACGTGTGGTAACAATACCATGTACACGTACAGTACTGGACGTTTTGGGCACCAGTTTAGTAATAATACCACGTACACGTACAGTACTGGACGTTTTGGTCACCAGTGTGGTAACAATACCATGTACACGTAGATTACTGGACGTTTTGGGCACCAGTGTGGTAACAATACCATGTACACGTACAGTACTGGACGTTTTGGGCACCAGTGTGGTAACAATACCATGTACATGTACAGTACTGGACGTTTTGGTCACCAGTGTGGTAACAATACCATGTACACGTACATTACTGGACGTTTTGGGCACCACCTAATTATCTAGATTAATTTATTCTTATATCTGAACACATTATGTCAGCGATGTCATTGTTTGAACACATTAATTATCTAGATTAATTTATTCTTATATCTGAACACATTATGTCAGCGATGTCATTGTTTGGCCACATTATGTCAGCGATGTCATTGTTTGAACACATTATGTCAGCGATGTCATTGTTTGAACACATTATGTCAGCGATGTCATTGTTTGAACACATTATGTCAGCGATGTCACAAGTTTGAACACATTATGTAAGCGATGTCATTGTTTGGCCACATTATGTCAGCAATATCATTGTGACATTCTAACAAACAGACACAATTAATGACATTTAATAGCCGTACATATTCGCATTACTTGTTTGATTGTTGTTAAATACAAAGCTACACAATGGGCTATCTATGTTGTGCTCACCACGGGTATCGAAACCCGGTTTTAGCCTTATAAACTTTCAGACTTATATAATGTGGATCCGGAAATTAAATCATTTTGTTCTGTTTTATTTGACTACATAAATGACAAGATGAGGATAATATTAATGTAACATGATATTTATATATCTTATTATTATTTTCATACAAGATCCCCTTCTACGTTCATAATACTCTAAATTTACTTTACTAGATGGCCGCTAGAGGGCACAAATGGTTTTGAATTTCGCGCAAAGCTACACAAGGGCTCTTTTCACTAGCCGTCCCTAATTTAGCTGTGAAAGACTAGAGGGAAGGCAGATACTTATCACCACCCACCGCCAACTCTTGGGCAACTCTTTTTTCCAACGAATAGTGGGATTGACATTATAACGCCCCCACGACTGAAAGGGCGAGCATGTTTGGTGGGACGGGGATTCGAACCCACGACCCTCAGACTGCGAGTCAAGTGCCCTAACCACCTGGCCATGCCAGGCCGTGTTTTGTTTCGGTCAAAGCTACAAGAGGGCTATCTGTTTGCGTTAGCCGTCCCTAATCTTGAACTTATAGGCAAGAGAGAGAGGGCAAATGGCCAATAGTATGGTTTCACCGTCACTCTTATAACGCACTCAAGTGCGAAACGCGACTTTGCGACAACGAGAAGTTGTGGCTCATGGAAAGTCGAGGTTTCACTGTCCGTCACGCTAACTACTAGACCATAGTAGAGTTTTAGGTGTTCGGTATGTTTGTTAATGTATTAATAAAGACTTGATTAGATCGTGGTTTTTGTAAAACTGAAACCGAAAGGCTGGGATATAATGGGTGGCTTAATAAACCCGCGAAAAGCTTTGTTTGTTTGTTTCTTTCTAAATAATCACAAAGCTACACAATGGGCCATCTGTGCTCTGCCCACCACGAGTATCGAAACCCGGTTTCTAACGTTGTAAGTCCGCAGACAAGCCGCTGTGCCACTGGGGGACCCCGTGAAAAGCACACATACTGAAACCTATCAATGTGAGTAATGGAAAATGATTATCAATATCAAAGTTCAGTGTGTTATGAACCAGGCCTTATCTACTTATTTTCTGAATACTGTTGTAATACTCCTTCTATAAGCTAGTCACATTAGAACAGTCTTGCTGTTAGATTAAAATTAATAAATCCCATGGAGATCAACAGTAACCGTAACCAACTTATGGCCTAATTCTAACTACTTAAATTATTTTTTATTTACTAGATATTAATTGCTAACTAGTTTAATCCTACGTTTCGGATATTAATCTACTGGCTCTTTCCTAAAGACACGAAGTTTGTTTATTTGTCACACAATGTCAACCACAGGGAATCGAACCCCGGGTTTCAGTGCTAAGCATATATATATATATATATATATATATAGCCCCCTTGTGTAGTTTTTGCGCTTAACAACAAACAAACAATAAGAAAGTTTGACAAATCTGTCTGTTTCGTTATTAATTATTCTTTTAAAGCTGAAGTGAATTTTGTTCTTAATGCTTCGTCTGACCTGTTTATGGCGTTTGTTACATTAAATATATCATAATATCCTATGAATGTTAACAGACATCAACAGTTTTTAGAAACTACAGGGATTTGATTAAAACAGGCTACAAACAATGAAGTACTTACTCGATTTTCATATCATGGTCAGTGCCTATTCTAAGATCACCGTGAAACATCTGGCAACCTACGTCATACTCGCCATCTCCTGCACTCACTATTAACTTATGATGCTGAACCCTTATCCTGTTCATGAAGAGGCCGTCCTCATCCTACAATTAGCAGGAATGTTTTCCATTCAACAAGGGTTAAAATACAGGAACGAAGAAAAGCTGTCTGTGACAGATAAACCAAGCTGGGAATTTATAAGTTAGTAAAATGTATTTGTTCTTCAAATTAAATACTAATGGCGGACAACATCACACCCTCGTTAAAAACGTAGATCTCCTTATGTTTACAAGATATCAGTGAACATGTAATATGAACACAAACAACTTAATTAATATTAATGGTTGAATTGAGTTACTGTTGATTAGTTGGCATTTATAAGCGTAAGCTGTAAACTCATGGAGTGTAAATCAACCTTCGGATATAACTTGAATCCCAAGACAAAACTCCTCACTGCGAATCCTGATATTGTTATATGTTTTTAAATGTCTATAATATACTCGTCACTAGCGAATCCTGATATTGTTATATGTTTTTAAGTGTCTATAATATACTCGTCACTACGAATCCTGATATTGTTATATGTTTTAAGTGTCTATAATATACTCGTCACTACGAATCCTGATATTGTTATATGTTTTTAAATGTCTATAATATACTCTTCACTACGAATCCTGATATTGTTATATGTTTTTAAATGTCTATAATATACTCGTCATTGCGAATCCTGATATTGTTATATGTTTTTAAGTGTCTATAATATACTCGTCACTGCGAATCCTGATATTGTTATATGTTTTTAAGTGTCTATAATATACTCGTCACTACGAATCCTGATATTGTTATATGTTTTAAGTGTCTATAATATACTCGTCACTGCGAATCAATATATTTATATTGATACATTATAGTGAATGTTATATTTATATTGATACATTATAGTGAATGTTATATTTATACATATAGATTATAGTGAATGTTATATTTATAGTGATACATTATAGTGAATGTTATATTTATATTGATACATTATAGTGAATGTTATATTTATATTTATACATTATAGTGAATGTTATATTTATACTGATATGTTATAGTGAATGTTATATTTATATTTATACATTATAGTGAATGTTATATTTATACTGATATGTTATAGTGAATGTTATATATATATTGAAAGTGATATAACTTTACATATAGATAAATAAACCACTTCTATAAAATATACAAATTCTAAAAGTAAGAAGATTTCTCACGCTATTATTTCAAACTAGCAATAAATTAAATGTTCTCACGTCGGAAGTGATTCAATATGGAACTCTTCCCACGTAGGAAGTGTTTCCAAACGGAACTCTTCCCACGTAGGAAGTGTTTCGATACGGAACTCTTCCCACGTAGGAAGTGTTTCCATACGGAGCTATTACCATACGGATTTACTTGAATATATATATATATAAATACATCCTAGCATATGATGATATCAAGGGAAAGTTTCATGTTTTCATCCCGCACTAACCTGAGTAGTATTGCAGCCTCTGAAAGGAATCTTCATGTACAAAGTAGTATTGCCTTTACCGTGAATAACGCATCGTTGGTCTTTGTGACTTCTGGTAACATAGGCCATTCCAAAGAAAGGCAGGTTTGTCCGAATGACAACAACAATGTTTTCGTGATCGCTGCGGCAGTCCACCTCAACTAAAACGTGAAAAAAAATATATTTCTTAATGTCTAGAGAGCAACGCGTCCCATTCAAAAAATTCAATTTTATTTTAAGTTCGTCGCAAAGGCTTAGGATGCAGGTCTATGAGTTAACCAGACTGATAACCAACACAGAGAACTTTCTCCAAGTCGTGATTACCGTGAATGTACTATGCATTTCTATCTTAGTAAATTGTGTTTTTTTTTACAGATTTAAAAGGTGTAAGATAAGTAAATAAAAAGATAATAAAACCTGAGTGTCCAGCATATCCCGTACTTTTTATATTACAAGAATCTGGTGGTTCCCATAATCATCACATCTATTTGTCACATGGTTAATAACAACTGACCCACACCACTCAGAAAATGACCTACACTACTCAGAAACTGGCTCACACCACTCAGAAACTGTCTCACACTACTCAGCAACTGACTCACACTACTCAGCAACTGACTCATACTACTCAGCAACTGGCTCACACTACTCAGAAACTGGCTCACACTACTCAGAAACTGACTCACACCACTCAGAAACTGTCTCACACTACTCAGCAACTGACTCACACTACTCAGCAACTGACTCATACTACTCAGCAACTGACTCATACTACTCAGAAACTGGCTCACACTACTCAGAAACTGACTCACACTACTCAGAAACTGACCCACACCACTCAGAATCTAGGCTCACACCACTCAGAAACTGGCTCACACCACTCAGAAACTGTCTCACAC